AACCAGTCGGAGATCGATGAGTACTTCACGGGGCCGGCGTTCCTGGCCTGGAACCGGATGGGGAACCTCCGCGGCTGGGCAGGGGCGCTGCCGCCAGCCTGGCACCTCAAACAGCTTTACCTGCAGGTACCGGGGGCACCGGGGCTGCCCTGGTCCTCCAGGCCAAGACTGTGCTCATGGAGGCCTGGGGGCCTTGTGCAGGGAGGTGGGGGCTCCTCTCCCCCTGCTCCCTCCTTCCTTCTCTCTCCCAGTACCGGATCGTGGAGAGGATGCGCTCGCTGGGGATGATCACGGTGCTGCCGGCCTTCGCGGGCCACGTGCCCCAGGGGGTTCTTCGGTAGGTGCAGCCTCGTGCGCTCATGGACCCTACCGGGCAGATCAGCCCCAGCTGCAGCTCCTTCCCCAGTGTCTCAGCTCTGGGCCCTTCCTGGGGTCCCACCTCCGGCCAGCACTGGCTGCACAGGGCGCTCCTGGGGCCAGCACAGCTCCCGGTTCCTCCTGTGCCCATACCGGCTTCCCTGGGAGGCCACCCTGTCCCCGCAGGGGTGCCCCAGTCCTGTCCTGACCCTGATCCCCATCTCTGCCCACTCGTGCAGGGTCTTCCCACGCATGAATGCCACTCGCCTTGGGGGCTGGAGCCACTTCAACTGCACTTACTCGTGTACCTACCTGCTGGACCCGGAGGACCCCATGTTCCAGGTGATCGGGACCCTCTTCTTGAAGGAGCTAATCAAGGAGTTCGGCACAGACCACATCTATAGCGCCGACACCTTCAACGAGATGACCCCCCTCTCCTCTGACCCTGCCTATCTCTCGAGGGTCAGCAACGCCGTTTTCAAGTCGATGGCGGGAGGTGGGTGAGCGCGCAGTGCCAGCCTGGCCACAGGGCTCTGGGTGGGGATTGCCGAGCACCAAGGGGCTGGAGGGGAGGGAAGCGGCTGTTGGTGCCAGACCCTCAAAGCCGCCTCTCAGAGGGGCGGTCGGTGGCCCCGGGGCCTCACGGGACACCCCCCTCTGTGCTGGGAGTGCAGTGGCTGCACTGGCGGGGCCTGCCCCGGGGGGACCCTCACCCAATGCGTCTCTGTCCACAGCCGACCCCGAGGCGCTGTGGCTGATGCAGGGCTGGCTCTTCCAGCACCAGCCAGACTTCTGGCAGCCAGCGCAGGTGCGGGCCCTGCTCCATGGTGTGCCCCTCGGTAGGATGATTGTTCTCGACCTCTTTGCTGAGTCCAAGCCTGTCTACCAGTGGACAGAGTCCTTCTACGGGCAGCCCTTCATCTGGTGCATGCTGCACAACTTCGGGGGCAATCACGGCCTCTTCGGCACCGTGGAGGCCATCAACCACGGCCCCTTCGCGGCTCGCCGCTTCCCCAACTCCACCATGGTGGGCACCGGGCTGGTGCCCGAGGGCATTGAGCAGAACGACATGGTGTACGAGCTGATGAACGAGCTGGGCTGGCGAC